GACTGGATGTCTGAAGGGCTGGAGCAGTTGTGTAACAGAGGGGGAAGGCAGGGGATTAACTCAAATTCCTCATCTGCTGCTCGAAAGTGTGATGTCAGAGTTGCCACAAGAACTTAAAGGCTGTGTGTTCACCTCAGGAATTGGGTTCCACGGTGCTCCCCGAGCCTTCTGGCTGCCTGGACTTGTTGGGAAGTGTCCCTTGGTGTCTGAATAAAGGAGTTCCACACTCCACCGAGCATAACTAAAAGCCTGTTAAAAGGAAAAAAATGTTTCAGCCAGATATGCAGATTGTTACAGATCATCTGAGAAGAGACTGGGGGTTTTTCAGTGTCTAACTGCAAAAAGGAAAGAAAAATGCTGCTCAATGAATAATTCACAGGTCGTGCTCTGTTAGGATTAGTGCCTCTAACTGGGCAAATGCCTGTCAACATTTGCTGTTTGCTGCAGCTCAGGGTTGGAATCTTGGTTAGTGGATGTAAAGTTTTATAAGTTGCGGGGTCAGAGGGAGGAACACTGCAAGAAAAATCGGGATGTGTTGCTGCAACCAAACACCTCTGCCTTCCTTTTTAAAGGAGCTGGGTTGTTCTAGTGAAAGGTAAAAGTGGGGGAATTGCTTTACCTTCCAGGATTTTTGCAGAACAAACAGATCATGAATTTGAGCACTGCAGTGAAAGCCCCCCATTGATGTGGCAGAGACTTCATGGTGCCCAGAATCACCTGAGAATATTGTTTGGTTCTGTTCCTTGTATAAATTAGATTTCCCAGTTTTTACCAGTTAATCCTCTAACTTAGTCCAGAGGGGAAGGTCTTCTCCCACTTTGTTTTACTGCCCTCAGTTTGGCAGGAGAACAGAATTCCAGTTCATGTGTCTTGGCATTAACTCACTTTTGCTCTGAGTGTACATCCAGGTGGTGGATAAGAAAGGACAGGGAATTCCTGGGAGAAGGGACAAGCCCACGTTTGGAACAGGGGACTCTTTTCTACTCCCAAACTGGAAAATGATGGGGATGAGAAATGGGAATGGGGGTGTTCCCAGCCTGCCTTGCTTTTCAGGGCATGAGATGAGGGAAGCCTTTCACGTGCTTTGTGATTTTAGTGTTTGAGGAATAGAAACTTGATATATAGGGGGGGAAATGAGTCAATTTGGGGCCTGTTTTGGGAATTTCTCTGGCAGGAAGGCACATCTGCCGCCTTCCAGAGATTCCAGAGGGCTCCTGCCATCCGTGCATGTGCACACCCCCCCCAGACAGTGCGTGGGATTTCTCTGTCCGTTTTTCCCTTCACTTGTTAAGGTGCTTGTGATTGCTGGGAGTTCGGGAATGCAACCTACTCCCACTTTGTGTTTTGCACAGTGAAGTAGAAAATGTCACCTTGTTTCAGATTCTCCTGTCACATTGATTACAGTGGGCTCGGAGAAGGGCAGAATGATCTTTAGCAGCAGAAACTCACGATTGTTGAGTAGGAAAACACTGGGAATTGTTCAGCCTGGCTCTGAACGTCCACTGGAGCTGAAATAAAACAAGGCAATTTATTATTTCCACTTATCTTTGTTGATTAGGGTTACACCCTGAGTGTGTGTAGTATTGATGGAGTCACCTAAATAGGTGTCACTTGTTCTTTGTGCTCAAAGGTGAAGGCAAGGACTGATTTTAACCAAATTTGGTCTCAGCTTTGTAGCACCTGAGGGTTTTGAAGATGTGGTTGATCCAAAGGTGGTTGGACTGTTCAGGAAGTGAATGGGAGTGAATTTTCCACCATAATTAGATGTGCTGCTTTATTCTATATCCTCCATGGAGAACTCAGGCTCCTAACTTTGTTCCTTTTTTAGTGGTCTGTACTGGGTATAATTTCATTTACATCAGATACCTGCAGTGTTATGGGTTGTGGGTACTGACATTGTTAAACTGCTGCTCTGAGAGAGGTGGAAAAAATGCTCTTATGGTTATTTTGCTAAGGAGAAATATGTCTCCCTGAGCTAAATGGAAATGCAACATTTCTCAGCAATTGCTGGCCAGGGCATTTTAACAGAAAATCAGAGCATATTTATCATTTGGAGGTGAAATGGGGGGGGGGGAATCTCAGACCTCTAACAAGGGCCATGAAGATGGAAGGCAGTGGTCTCTTGAAGTCATTAAATATTGAGGCATATGTCAAACCCAATGAAAGTGATGGTGCTTCTGTTTGATGTCATTGTTAAGAAAATGAGGGCTGGGGAGGAGATGCACAACAGGATGAGAGCTCTGGGGCATGGCAGACACAGGTTTATTAAAACTACAGTCCAGCCAGTAGCTGTTGTTAAAAAAATTATATAAATATATATATATTTCCAGAAGTAAGGCTCTGTGTCTCATCCTGTCCCTCAGAGGGGGTGGATGGATGTTATTTGATTTACAGAAGCACTGAAGAGCCTCTCTGAGCTCTGTCTTGGCAGTAGGTGCTCTACAAAGGCAGAAAAGATGATCCCACTTTCTATTTCCTTCTCTCTGTTGGTTTAAGGGGGGAAAAAAGGGCATTTAAAAGCCACGAAAATGCACTTTCCAACTTCAGCAGGAGCTCGGGGGTTGTATTTGGCTGTTGGTTAATGGGTTATGAAATAATTAATTCCCAAACTCATTCTTTTAGTAACGGTGCCACCTCGTGGGCTCGGAGGGGAGGAAGGACAGTGGGGCCAGATGAGGCTGAAAACAAGGAGCAGAACACGTTTAATTACCATTATACAGCCTTACCTTGCAACGATGTTCTTGTTAACAATCACTTTTTACTCTTAATTGCTCTCTGATTATTAGATCAGTTCCAAATCCTTGCTGCTGTACTAAGAGAAGGTCTGTTTGGCAGAGTTTAAATTGCAGTTTAAAAAGCAGTTTCTGGACAGCCCTGTCAAATACATATCAAAGAAATACAGTGACAACAGCAGCTTGTTAGCTGGAAATGTTAATAACATGCACTTCCTCGACCCTGTGTCTTGACTGAAGATTTTTAACTCCAAGAATCAGTGTAGTTAAATCCCACATCCCTCTGAGACAGAGGTGTAGAGAAGCAGCTTGTTGGTATTTCTAATATCTGGGTCTGTCTTGTAACCCTTCCACTTACCAGGAGTGAGGGGATGCCTTTGAAAAAAGAGATCATTTGATTTTTCTGTGCTGTCCTCCAGTCCTAAAAGAACAAAAATGATAAAATATCAATTTGTGCAAAGGATTAATATATCTTTCTTCATCCTAGTGAAAATATCTGGCACGTTTTCGGTCACTGAGTAACTCACCATCTACCCAAAGCCCCTCAGCACTGATAAACCTCAATGTAGTGGTGGTCATATGGGCAATACTTTATCTTTCCAACTCTATTCCTTATCTTTGGTTTGTTGGGAATCCACCAGTGCCTCACCAGGGATGAGGCTCTTGTGTGCTGGGTGTGGGGGTATATTTATACAGTTTTTTGGAAGCTGGGTCTATGTGGTTCTCCTGCAAAATGTCATTATTAACAGGAAGTGTCTTCGTGCCACTGATGTTCTCATTGTAAAAGACAAGCAAAAGAGTTTGTGGCCTGAAAAATTCCATGCACATCCCAATTATTGATATTTTCTTTAGGATCCTGTGTTGTTTTTTTTTTTTCTTCATTTCACTGCAGCACAACCTGGTTCTGCAGAGAAAACTGGACACTAAAACACTGTTTTTAGCTAAATGCTTGTATAATCTCACAAAGAATCCTCTTAAATGTAGAGGGGTGGGAGGAAAAAAAAAATAGAAAAGCCTGCTTATTAGTTCCTGCTGCCATTGAAATCCCAGCTTTGCCTGTCAGGAGGAACAAGTGCATGTGAAGGGAGCTCGTGGGATGCCTGCAGAGCACAGACATCCCTTCTGCTTCCGTTTCACAACCAGCATTCCCCAGGGAAGCTGCCAGCAGCCTTTTCCGTGTTAGCTGTGATCATCCTGATACACAGGATAAGCTCAGCCTGGCTCAGCTTGGGTGCGTTGGAAAATTCATTTAGCACTGAAATTACAAGTGCTAAAGGGGTGTGAAGGCTCCAAGTCCCAAATCAGAGGAACTCGCTGCCCGGGAGGGGTTTGCTGGGTTTGGAGCAGGGGATTGTTCTCAGCTCTCATGGATGCTCTGGGAAGCACAAATCACTCCAATCCAATAGGAAAAATAAAAAGATGAAAATGAGTTTCAGCAGAGCCTGGATAAGCACAGGCCACCTAGTTGTTGCCTTATCCAGGTGTCTGCCTCCTGGATTTGCAGCTCTGTGGGCACAATGCACGTCTTGCATCGATGCCGTGACTGCCAGAGGCTCCCAAACCTTCTCCTGAGCTCTTCATCCCCGTTTTGGGATGAAGTGCCAGCAGATCCCGAGGTTTGTCCCGTGTCCCAGCAGATGGAGCCCGTGCTGAGCCTTTCCATTCCCAGCAGCTGCTGCAGCTGCTGAACACGCACAAAAAGCCCAGGAAGAGATGCCAGGCAGGGGTTAGCGGGGCAAGGAGGGAAGAGCAAGAGTTGAAACTCATTTCTTTGCATGAGCTGATCCAGAAGATAAAGAAATTGCTACACCAGGGCAAGCAGAGATAAAAGGAATTGCCCTGGTTAAACCCACTGCACTTAAAACCTTGAGAAAGCTGGACCTGTTTTGACCAGAGCCTGGTGCTCCATCCCTGCCCTAGGAATTTAGGGAAGAGGATACAGGAAGAAGCTGGATCATGATCTAACAACGGTTTATTAAGTCTGCTCATGTCATACCACATTAAAGCTTAAATATGTTTCTCCCCAGGCCTCCACAGAAACTTAAAGCCTTTCCCCAGTGCTTTTATCTTTCCTCTCCTTGCACTTCAATTACCAACACTGCTGCTTTCCACAGCAAAAATTTTTTTTTCTAGGTCACGATTTTTATCTGGCAAAGGAAGTTGAGCAAGACTAGCCTAAGTTAACCATTGAATAAAGAGTTTGAAATGAACCCTGTAAAGTCTGGGCAGGGTTTATTTATGCTGGATTTCTTTTACTTTGCTTTGGTGGACAACGAGAAGCGTTTGTGGTGTGAAAGAGTTGAGGTCCTGATGCTTGTCGGTGCTTCTGAATGAAGTTCTTTTTGGCTTTGTTTCAAAGGTATTTAACTTGTCAGCTTGGCTGTTTCATTAAAAGGAAATATTGCCTGGTTGCTCTTAGTTCTGCAGTGTTTGTGGCTGCTTTCCACAGCTGCTTAGGAGAGATGTATATTTAAAATGTGCCCTTCATTGAATGATAAATGCTCCAGGGAACAAGTGTTATTTTGGTGCCAAATGTCAGGGTTTGCTCTCTGAAGCAAATTACTGGGGCGTGTGCCCTGCAAACCTGGGGGGGTGTGTGCCCCTGGAATGGGAATTTCCTCCATGTGCACTTTTGGGAGGGGGGGAAAAACAGGAATATGGGGAAACAGATGGTATAGAGAACAGATGGCTCCTTCAGCTGCTCCCAGATGTCACAGCAATGTCCCAGCAATGCTCTGCAAATACCTGCAAATGTGCTTTGATCTGTTCCTGGATGCAAACAAAACCCCCTGAAGGCAAAATGAGGAGCCAGGACTTGGGCATTTAACGAGATTTCATGCAGTCCTTTGGTTTTTGGGGTAAGACTGGCTGGGAAGGCTGCTCTTTGGCACTAGAGGAAGGCAGATTTGAGCTGGAAGGTGCTTATCAGGCACTGGTGAGGAAGGGCTGGTCGGGATGTGTGTGTTGCTGGTGGGGAAAGGACATTTTCCAGTGGAAAGGCACTTTGTGCCAGCAAATGAATGCAAACACGTCCTGGGAGCTGCTGAACACGAGAGGGATTCAAGTTTGTGCTCTAGGCTACATGATAAGGTGTAAGAGGGCGGGTGAGGACTGTGGGTTCTCCCATGTGACAAACACAGTGGAGAACTTGGAGCAGGGATGTGTAAAAGGAGGGATGTGGTGGAGAGTGCCCTGGTGGTGCAGGGTGTTGAGGGAAGAGTGGGATATGCTGTTAAAGAAACACTGGGCAGGGGTTTTCTAAGAAACACTGAGTAAATCTACTTTCCTCACCGTCCCAAGTGTCAGAATGTCAGGTTCTGACACTGGGAGTCAGCAAAAGGCTTCGTATCACTAAAAAACCAACACAGACCTGTTTGGAGGGCACCAGAACCACAATTTACCACTTGACCTCAAGAAAGGCCTTGGAAAATGGTGTCTGGCTGGCACTTGTCACTCAGAAGACCTTGGAACACCCGACTTCCAACTCTCCTCAGGTTCTATATTAATTCCCCAGCCCAGAGATAGTTCAACAGTAAGGTACATTAATCTATTCCTGTTATTTAGCATTTAAGAGCCTTAAGCATGGACAAGGAGTCTGTTTTGCCAGGTGCTGTATAAACACTGAGCAAAATATAGTTGCTGCCCTATTGGAGTCTTTGCTGCATGCAAATTAAATCAATTACAGAAAGCTTAAAAATAACTCCAGCACTGCTGGCACGCTGCACAGAGGGTAGGCCCTGCCACATCCTGCTCACTGGAGTTTTGTGGTTGACATCTGAGCAGCTTCTCCAGGCTGAAAGAGCAGAGAGCTCAGAGGAAAAAAAAAAAAATGCTGGAGTTCCTCTTTTTGAGGGCAGCGCTTTCTGTCTGAAAAGGGAAAGTTTTTCTGCTCCTTTAGAAGGGAGTAAAATTATGCTTCCCATTTAGAGCTTTTGCTTTTTCCCTAAGGACCTGTGGGAAGGGTGGTCAGCCTGCTTAAAAACCTCAGGGTGCTGGAATACCCCTTAGTGACGAGGCTGTGCTTGTGGTGGTGCTGGTCTCTTCTCCTGCAGGGATGAACTGTGGCACAGAAAGATGGAGCTTTGTTAAATAAAGCCCAAACTTGTGAAGGGTGAGGCTGGGAGAGCAGTCTGGGGGGGATGGAGGGGCCAGTTTTGGGTGGAAGAGTTATCAGAGGAAGAGTTATTAGAGAGTGTCCAAAGGAGGGACATGAAGATGGTGAAGGGTCTCGAGGGGCCACAAGAGGAGACTGAGGGGAGACTCCTCGGGGTCTGCAGCTTGAAATGAGGGGCAGCTCCAACACACTGTGAGCAGGGACAGGATCCAGGGAATGGCTGGAGCTGTGTCAGGGCAGGGTCAGGTTGGATCTCAGGAAAAGGTTCTTCCCCCAGAGGCTGGTTGGGCACTGACCAGGCTCCCCAGGGCAGTGGGCACAGTCCCAAGGCTGCCAGAGCTCCAGGAGGGTTTGGACAATGCTCTCAGGGACAGGGTGGGATTGTTGGGGTGTCTGTGCAGGGCCAGGAGCTGGAATCAGTGATCCTTGTGGGTCCCTCCCAACTCAGCATGTTCTGTGATCTTTAGGAGGGTGCTTTAGGTAGTGTGAGTTAAGTGAAGCAGGTTTTCCCCAGAGCAATGTGTGCGTGCCTGCAGGATGGGGTGAGCTTGTATTTATAGCTTTGTGCCCTTGAGTTAAGTGCTCTGCTGCCTCTGTTCTTTATTACTGCCTTTGCTGCCTTCTACCTTCTGGTGTTCAGGCCTGAAATGTGACTTCCCAGTTGTCAGCAGTGTCCTGCTGGCATCCCTAGAGAGCAGATGATTTACAGGAATCAGTGCTCTCAGTAGCACTCAGTCTGCCTTTCAAGTGGTGAGCAATTCAAGCTGCACTTGGAATATGTTGATTGAACGTGGAAGACCTTGGATGTTCTTGATGGAAATGAGGAAGTCAAAGGCTTGCTCTGAAATTCAGTGTTTTGTTAGGTTAGCGTGGAAAAAACACACAAGGACATGTGAGGAACCAGTCCTTAGGCTGGGAAACCAGAGGCTTGAGCTCAGCTGAGAGGAATTAGGGTCCCCCTCTGATGTGGGGTGAGGTTTGAGCAAAGACAGAACCACAGCCAGATGGTCTGAAAACACAGGAGGGATTTGGAGGTGATGATAAACTTGGATTTGTACCGACCTTGTCACCCAAATGCAACCCCAAAATACTTTGTGGAAGTATCTTTTCAAGTTTCATTACAGTGGCAGCTCCTGGATGCAGGGTGATGTGATACCTGGCAGTTCAGGGTGGGAATTCTGTGTGTTCCCCTGGGAAATAACACAAAATGGGTGGTAGGTCTGTGTCCTGGTGGGGATCTCTGGCTCAGGTTCAGCTTTAATGTCAACATCTTGATATGCAAAGATCAGCTGTTCCCTCCAACATCCTTCTGTAGGCAAAGCCTCTCTTGCCTCCCAGTTTTGTGGCTCATGCAGCAAAGCTCGTGCCTTCTCCAGTCAGCACAAACAAACCTGGATCAGGCAGGGATTTACTAAAGGAGGCTGAAGCCTGTGAGAGAAAATTGTCAAGCTAATGCAGGTTCTCACTCCACAGATGTGACAGGAGCTCTTTTCCCCCCACTCACACTGGGGAGATGCATCTCAGATCAAGTGGGAAACTCAGCCCCTGGGGAAGCCCTGGATGTGCCTGTGCAATAAAGCCCAGCAGGGAGAGGCTGCAGCAGGAACACGAGCCTGGCTAATACCAGCAAAAAGAACTCATCTTTCTAGATTTGATGCAAGCCCTGTAGCTATGAAAAAAAACAACAAAAAAACAAACCCAGTTTGACATGAATTCTTCATGTGATGGTCCATAATCTGCTGTAGTGCTGGAAATAATTCTGATTGTTCCAGCCTGGCAGACCTGCTGCTGCCACAACCTTTAGCAGTCCCAGCCAGGGATGTGCTGCTGGCCTGGCCTGCCACAGGTTGGGACCCCCCCAAGGCTCCCCATCTCCTCCTGGTTTTCCTTCTAAATATTGGCTGAACACAACTGCTTTTTGATTCTAGGAGACACATTTTTATGCTTATTGCTATCCAAGAAGCTCTTGTCAGCCAAGAAGCTGTTCTGCATCTCACAAAGTACAAACCCTGAAGGAAGGATGGGCTAAGAAGTAAATCACAGCAAGAAATCTTTACTCCCTATCTTTATTATAATATTATATTTATCATTTACTCTCTATCTTTATTATAATATTTATTATTTACTTTCTATCTTTATTATATTTATTTACTCTCTAGTATAATATTGTATTTATTATTTACTCTCTCTTTATTATAATACCGTATTTATTATTTACTCTCTTTATTATAATATTATATTTATTATTATTATCTATCTCTATCTTTACTCTTTATCTCCATTATAATCTTACATCTATTATTTGCTCTCTATCTTTACTCTGCCCTTACTCTCTGTCTCTACAGAGAGCCCACACTTGTGTCCTTTGGAGCATTTCACCTCAGAAAATGGCCTTGGTAAAAGATCACTGTGACCCAAAATACATACAAGTAACCTCAGTGGAGCCTAAAACCACAACAGAAATGGGGGGTAAATAAAAAGTTAGCATTGCCTCCGTGGTTTTGGGGGTTTTATTTTTGAGGAGTGAATTTCTCACGCTGAAGGGGAATATTGGCAAATGCCACCACATCTTTTTTTCCCCTTCCCCTTGGCTGTTGCTGATAGATCCTCACAGAATGATTGCCATGAATATTTTACTTTGCTGCTCAACAGACTAAAACATGTTAGCCCAGGAAGCTGTGGAATATTAATACTTTATGTGTGGTGAACAATGAATAAATAATCTCAGCCTCGGATCGGAGGTGCTCGGATAATCTGGATCTAGACAATGAAAGAAAGGATTTACATGTAACTGTCTTCTCTTGGAAAGCTGAGAATTCAAAATTGAAAATTCAGATCCTGGAGCAGCTGGAGGGAAGTGTCTGCCAGACTTCCCCAGCTTTTGTGTTCAGACAGGCAAGTGGTTCCCCTCTCTCAGTTCCTGCATGTAAGGACTTGTCTCTTGTATTGTGGATTAGTAGACCTCTCAAATGTCACATCAGCTTTTCTCTGACTGGTACTGAAATAATCTAATCTTCCCCCTGGAAGAAGCAAATTTGCTTCTGTTTGTGCCTGGTATATTGTGGTAAGAAATGGACCTTTTTGGCTTCCCAGAACTAAGGCTGGCGTGCCTCCAACTCTTTTTCTTTCTTTTTTTTTAATTAAGAAATTGAAAAGTTAAGTCTAAGAATGGCGATTTTTTTTTTTTTTTTTTTTTTTTTGCTCATTTGACAACAGATCTAAAATTTTCTACCAAAGCAGCTCACATGTGTGCAAAAGGAAAAACCAAGCCAGAAGGAATAAGGGTCAGAAAGGAACATGTCAGCCTGTATTTTAGCTTGTCTACACTTAACTGATGCTACTGAGAAACACCAGTGGGACTGTTCAGGTAGCAGCATCCTGAGTCTGCATCTGGCTGTGAAACAAGGAATTGCCTTTTCCTGATGGAAACAGGCTGAATTTTACTGCTGGTTGGAGTCTCCTGGTAAAATTAGAAAGCTCTTGTTGTCACCACAACAACATGGGGTGACAGGAGAGTTTCTTGCTGGGATAAAATGCATCAGTGCTGCAGGTTGTTCTACCTGAGTTCACTTGCACACAAGACATGAGAAACTCGTTGCCTGCAGCCTTGATAATTAATCATCCCTTGATAACTGGCAGGTGCTTGGTGAGGGTTTGGTTTCCGTGGCTAAAATCACCTCTATTTGTCCAGCCTTCTGCCTTTTGGTTTATTCTTAATTCTCTCTGCATCAATGAAAGGAAGTCACAGAGAAGGAACTGGGTTTTTTGGGTTTTTTTTTTTAAGGAGATGCTTTTTCCCTTGGTGTTTTCCATAGGGGAAGAAAAAGGAACAGTGGCCTATTAGCCCTAATTTATTCCCTGGCTGAACACAGATCTCAAATGAATTGCAAGAAGTGAAAAGTTGAAAGCACCATGATCAGGCAGTTCAAAGAAGGTATCAGGAATTCAGCTGGACTCTGTTTCTGACTCTGACAGGGCTCCCCAGGTGGCACAAAGAAAATCACTCCACTTACACCTAAAAAAGATTCCTCTCTGGACCCTTTCCCGTGGCACCAGCAGCTCTGACTTTAATAAGGAGCAAGGTCTTGTAGGAATACCTGTGTTTGCTAATCTTGCAAGGCTTCCAGTCTCCTCTGCAGGAGCTCTGAGGGCTTTGGGAAGGGCAGGATAGGAGGGAAAATGGTGTAAACCAGCCTAATTCCTCACTTGTACCTGGGGCAGCACCTCAGTTTTAGTATCTAAGGATGTAAAGTGGCAGCAAAGGTAAATAAATAAATAAATAAATAAAACGACCAAAACCGCAGGAAGATTCTTTGTTTGGTAAACGTTGGCACGGGGAAAACAAACAATGAAACCAAACAAAAGGGACTTCTAGCTGCTGAAAAGGACCATCAGAGTGACTGAGCAGAGGCTTCAGGAGTTGCAGTCAAGGAAATCTCCCCCCAAAATGCTCCTCAGGAGGGTTTTTCTGGAAAAAGACAAACGAGGGTGGCAGGTGCCCAGCCTGGCACTGAGCAGAGGGTGGCAGGAACGCTCCCCTTGCCTGTGTGGGATGTCCTGGCACTGCCCGAGGGCAGACCTGGCTGTGGGGGGGACAAAAGGCTGGAAGGGGGGTGGTTCTGAAGGTCTCCCTTGCTCTGCCCTCCCAGGGGGCACGGGCACAGCTGCGGGCACTGGGATGGGCTGGGGGGCTCACCTGGGCAGGTAACGAGGGCTGGGGTGGGACCAGCGGGGGTGGAAGAAGGATCTGCGTGGCAGAGCCCCCCAGGTAACTTTATATCACTTTATAGGATAAAAGTGGGAGGGCTGGGGCAGGTGGGCTGTGCTCTGGAAGGTTCTGCCTGTGGGAGGTGACCCTCAGGTGTGGGGGGGAAAGAGGAGCCTCCCCATGGCTGGAGTCACCTCCCACTTTTAGGGGTAGTTATAGGCTGCACTACCTTATAAACAGATTCTTATTTATTATTCTTATTTATTATTCTTATTTATTATTCTTATTTATTATTCTTATTNTTATTCTTATTTATTATTCTTATTTATTATTCTTATTTATTATTCTTATTTATTATTCTTATTCCCATTTACTATTCCCATTTACTATTCCCATTTACTATTCCCATTTACTATTCCCATTTACTATTCCCATTTACTATTCCCATTTACTATTCCTACCCTGTGTGTGCAAGGGCACCTGAGGGTGAAAGCCCCCGGCCTGTGGGGTGTTGGAGGGCTGGCTGGGGCTGCACTGCTTGAAACAATAAATAAGGGGATGAAGGAGGTTTTTAGGACCCTTGCTTTAGGGGCAGAGGGAGCCTGAGTTCAGGTGCCCGGTTTTATTTGTTCTGACCAGTAAATAAGTTCTTATTGCTACAATTGTGGTGTCACAGTGACCTCCCACCTGTCTGTGCTGCTGTAAATAGCATTTGGTGGTGGTGACTGGCTTTCTCCTGCCCAAAAAAGCAGGGTTGAGGTGAAGTACAACCTTTAGGGTTTTGGCAAGAGGTAGAACCTTAAAAAAATGAGAATTAATGGAGTGTTTGACTCACCTGTTGATCCCTTTGCCTCAGGTTGGGGATGCATTTGGCCACAAGGCTCTGCTTGGGGGGGAGAGACTGGAAGAAAGGACTTGCTTTATGATTAAACTTAGTCTTGACTAGTAGTGTAAAAATAGAGGTTTTTGTCTCAATCCTAGTGTCACATGTCAGGTGGGCTTCTTTTTTTTTATTTTGCCCAAGTTTCTGGGAGCTTCCCAGTTGCTGATTCAACCCCTCGAGCTGCTGCTGTAGAAGTGAGTTGAAATGCTCTGGTTAGAAACGTTACAGCCTTGGAGCCAAGTATTTCACTCCAGGTTTTGATCTGTATTAATTTGTTACAAGGTTCTTCTCCTCCTTCCCTCAGCTCGTGGTTATTAATGCATTAAATATTATTATGTTATTAACAGCATTAAATAACGGGTTTCTTTGTGTAATCTCTGGAACTTGTACTTATTTCACAGCTGCAGGGCTGCTAAAGGCCAGCACTTGGGGGGTGGGACTCAAACAGGTTTCAGGAAGGAAGAATGGATTGATTTTGAAGCCTTTTTTTTTTTTCCTTTATGACATGCTCTGTTCATATTTGCATGATTAATTATTTTTTTTATTTTTTTTTTACTGAAACCATATACTAGAGGGACAGCAAAGTGATGAACTGCTCTTATAAAACTGCAAATCCCCAAATCTCCCTGGTGCTCGAGTAATGAATCTTCTGGTGGCTGTCAGAATCTCTGTTGTAATACCTTACTTGGGGCTCTTGGTTGATGATTTGGGCAAGAAAAATAAGATGCCAAATTTGGCAAATCTGAAGAGCCCTTTGGTCCCTAACTATTTTAAGGTGCAAAAAAAAAAAAAAATCAAGTTGGATTTGTGAATATTTATGTGGAGCAGAGCAGACATGAGTCAATAACCCCCTGGCAGAAGCCACAAGAGTTGATTATAATATTTTTCAGCTGTTTCAGTGACTTGATTGAAGAGATAGGAGCAGCTGTGACTTTATTGCTGCATTTTTCAACTTCACTGTGCTTTGTGCAGGGCTCAGAAACTGCCTTGCTTTGCATAGACACAAAACCTCCCAAATTTCAGAGTGGTTCTGCAGAAGTTCCAGCCACCTGGTAGTCCTCGCTGCCTGTGCTCATTTATTAAACTCCCGAGAGTTTATTCCCAAACTCTCGGAGTTTCGAGAATAAAGAGTTTTTCAGTGGGGGGGTGTGTCGGGCTTTGGCACCTCCGTGCAAACCAGAGACAGCCCGTGCTCCCAGGGTCGGGCTGGGGAATGTTTATGGCAGTTCCTTCCATCCCAGACAGTCCAGGAAAGTCGGAGCTCCGAAGGCAGATGCTCTCCCCATATGCTCGGCGCGATTTCTGCTCTCACACTGGAAGCTCCTCATTAGCTCCTTTCCGAGAGGAGCCGTTTTGGTGTTTTTAGCAGGAACGATGCCCTTGATATCCCGGCGATCCTTCGCTCGCTTTGTTCTCTTCGCTGCTGTGAAGCTCTTCCCGACGACTGGTTTGTTTGTGAAAGCGGCTCGAAGAGCTAAATTTGGCCCATGTGTTTGTTTGTGTGGAGCAAACACTGCGAATATGCTAAATGACTCTAATAAACCGGGCTCAGTCCCTGTCCTTCCCCCCCCCAAGGCCTCCCCTGCTGATGGAGAGCTCTATTAATCTCCCATTTATTATTAAACACCCTGTCCTTGAAAGAAGCCTCGAGGCCACAGTTTTGCCCGTGAACTTTTATATCTCTGGTATTTATTGTTTACTGCTGCCTGTCTGTCTCTAATCTATCCACTTTATGCTTTTTCTTTTTTTTTTTTTGACCACAGGGGTGGGAGGGGAAAGAGCGCAGGGGAGATGTCGTGACTCTCCTCCGTGTCTGGGCGCTGGAATTTAAAACAAAAGTCCCTAATTGT